TTCCCATTTATACCTGTTTACACTTTCAAATCTAATTATTTCCCATTGTCGTTTTAAAGATCAAGCCCCAACTGTTTCATGGTGTGCCTTCTTTCTAATTAAGTATTCGAGACCAATGGGAGTCAGGCTGGGGCTATATGATCTCAATTTTCACAAGCTGACATTCACAATAAAAGTAGATCTTGATGATTTCCCTAACAGCTTTGATGTGAAGGAAAACAAAACAACACTGAGCTGTATATATTCCCTCCTCATGGGCCTGGGGGAGAAATCATAGTTAGCAGCAGCTGATCTCAGAAATCGGAGTTTCTGCTACATTGCTAGCAACAAGGTAAATCAATACAGGATAAGAACACAAGCCAGTATGTGGTGAGTCATGAAAAATAGATCAGTAGTGATATCAAGTGAAAATGATACAGGAAAACCACATTATCTGGAAAGAGAAATACAATTTTATAATACTCCTGGTACTGAATAGTTCTAACTATGGCACACAAAGTGAGCAAGCAGCAAATTACAGATAAGGATGACTTGCTTTCTTTCTACTGTTAACATGCCCCAACTAATAGATTGTAACAGAATGACTATTCGCAGCATTAAACGTTGGGAGAGGACGTCCATAATTACATAGCATATTTTGAAACATCATGACATTTGAATAAAACACAGGCATACGTCATAGAAAAGAAGACCTGGCCATCTTTTTTCATTCTCTAGAGATCAATAGAAGTACCCTTGAATCACAGATGGGTATTAAAATCCCTTTGCAAATAATTCCTCAGGTAGCTCATCTAAACTCTGAAAGGCCACAATAGCTCTCAAAAGAGGGAAATAAAATGCTTCACAGTTGTAATGATTTTCTCCTCATAAATATGCTTTCTGAAAAAGTACAGTGAGAATACTAAATATCTGCAAACTGATTTTAAAGTCCAAAGCTATTAAAATTGCAAGAATTTTTATGGAGCATATCTATCTCATAAATCAGTATCAAAGCCTGAAAAAAAGAAGTCTTAAATGTCTACATAATTCTCACAATATTATATATATGTATGTAAAAACAAAAAAGTTGGTCAAAATCTCTCATATTAAACAAGTTGCAATTACTACCCTACTTTAAACAAAAACCTCATAAATTCCTAAATACATAAAATGTAAAATTGGTAAAAATAATGCTTTACTTATTGGAGATAAAATGAAGATGAAACATAAACCTTATTTATTTATCCCAATTATTTCCCTCACATGCTCACAAAGGACACTATTCTGTCACTATTTAACCCTGTTCCCAAAAATTTCCTCATAAATGAAGTTTCAAAAAGAACAAAACTAGGCAAATAAGTTTATAGCTGCAGTTTCGTTTTGTCAAATTTGAGAATGAGACGTCTATGGTGAAAAGAAATAAAAGGTTAGCCATTTTTAATTTCCAAAGTGATCCCTCATTCACTATTCATGTCTCATGTGAACTTCATAATGTCAATTCTATCGCAAAAGCAAGGCAGAAAAAAGGGATCCTCTCAGGTTTAATTCAGTAGGGAGAAAAGTTCCTGGAAGATGTTTTTTCTTCCTCTGGAGTACTTCAGTTTTACCAAACATGTATTTTATAATTCTTAATTTATATTCAACAACAATGCTTTCTCCAGCTTTCAGAGATTTTCTAATTTCACTGATATTTCAAAAAATTTCCTTGTTGGCTGGGCGCAGTGGCTCACGTCTGTAAACCCAGCACTTTGGGAGGCTGAGGGGGGTGGATAATGAGGTCAAGAGTTCAAGACCATCCTGGCCAATATGGTAAAACCCCATCTCTACTAAATATACAAAAATTAGCTAGGCATGATGGTGCGTGTCTGTAGTCCTAGCTACTTGGGAGGCTGAGGCAGTAGAATTGCTTGAACCTGGGAGGCGGAGATTGCAGGGAGCCAATGTCACACCACTGCACTCCAGCCTGGTGACATCTCAAAAAAAGAAAAAAAGAAAAAAAGTTTTGTCGTTGCTATTTTATAGTTTAAAATGAGTGGTCCTCACTTCATTCAAAAGAAACAGGATGCCTTGAAAATGATGTGGTCGATCTCTAGAAATTAAAATTATTATTGCTTAATAATAGTAATACTTAATATATGTGGTGGCAGAAGCCTTGCTGAGCATATATATATATATATATATATATATATATATATATATATATATATATACATACACATATACATCAGTTGTTTAATTCTCATGGCCCTTAAATGGCCAAACTAAGGCTTAGAGATATTAAGAACTTTTTCCATGGTCATATAAAACTTTATTTCTGAAAATATGGCACATTTTGTCAATCCTGAAGAATACAGAATAAGCATTTATTTATTCACCTATTCAATTATTCAACAAACGTTTCCAGGCAGACTAGTAAGTAGCAAGCTAAGAGTTAGACAGGGGAATAAAAAATGAAATAAATGTTGCCTCCTGCCCTCAAAGACCTTACATTCTAGTTTGGAAGAGAGACTATTAAATAAACATACAGGGTTAAGATAGATACTTATAGCCTCAGTGTTGACACAGGATCCCTGAAGAGTATGAAATTGAAACCATTTCCTTCTAATTAATAAACATTTATAACAGAGTAGAAAACACTTGGCAAGCCTATCTGAATAATACTTATTCTGTCTTTATGGTATCAACATAAAATAAGGGTAAAAATCAAGCAAAATATTTTTAAAAGAATTATACAATATAGTAATTCCAAAAATGTTAATGGAATTGAGCTTTTATTTAGAATTTGTCTCGGTGCAGCCAAATGGCAACTATGCTCATTTAAGGTACACAATTGGCAGCCATGATTCAAAGGTTCAATTCTGATCATGGCTGTACTAAAAGACTGTTGGTGTTTCAAGGAGCAAAACTGAGTGTGATATATATATATACTCAATAACTAAAATGAATATACTCGGTATTTCAACGGAATGACTGGCATCCACTTCCTGTCTAATGAAAGGCCAACATCAATTATTAAATGCTAAGAATTACTACTGGGAATGCAAAACTAAAAACCTCTTCCAAAGAAATATGAAATGTAAGTCTGGCAAATTTCTTTAAAAGAGCTTCAACGTGTAAAAACAGAGCTTTTTCTCTCGATAAATACTTTCTGTAAGTAATTTATCTTCTTTATAGAACAGACAACAAAGCAAGACAACTTTTGGCACATTTGGATGTGCTCTGAATGCCAAGCCAGGCACCACAGTCATTACCACCAAAAGGGAAGTAAGAATTTCACTGTCTATAGGAAGACTTTGAGGTCTGTCCCATGTAGGTGACCAACAGCGTTACTTTAGTCTCTCATTATTAATGCCATTAAACTCAACGTTAAATTATGTGCTGATGAAAATTTCTTAAAAATATATGTTAGTATTGTGTTTGCTTACAATCATTAAGTACAGAATATTATCGTTTCTATTTGCAGTTCTGTCTTTTCCTTAAGACTATCAGTTTCTTGAGACCAAAACTGGTTATCACAATGACCAGTACATAGTTGGTGCTAAAAACATATATGCTGAATAAAATTGAATACACATTCCTAATTTCAAAGTATATTGCACACTACAATTTACTTAAAAAACAGCTAAATTGGTCAGGCACGGTGGCTCACATCTGTAATACCAGCACTTTGGGAGCCTAGGCGGGCGGATCACGGGGTCAAGAGATTGAGACTATCCTGGCCAACATGGTGAAACCCTGTCTCTACTAAAAAATACAAAAAGTAGCTGGGTGTGCTGGTGCGTGCCTGTAGTCTCAGCTACTCAGGAATCTGAGGCAGGAGAATTACTTGAAAACCAGGAGGCAGAGGTTGCAGTGAGCCGAGATCCTGCCATTGCTCTCCAGCCTGGTGCCTGGCGACAAAGCAAGACTCTGTTTCAAAAAAAAAAACAACAAAAAACGGACAAATTGCCAGTTTCACATTCACCATCGTTATTGATGGGTTCAAGTCTATGAAATTTTGCCTATCATATATGCCAAAACACAATAAAGCAGTTTCAAAGACATTTTAACACACCTAAGAAAAGGAGTTTCTGAATTAAAGGTCACCACTTTCATGTTAACATTAGTGTATTTTGATTCCTTATAGTCACAATAGAGCTTATAAGATTTGTCCAAATTGAAGCTGAAAATGTTATGATGCCATTCACCTTTAATTAAATATACAGCATTAAGAGAAATACTATTTATATTAGCAACAGAAAACAAAATTTCTAAATCACTTATAAGATTCAGGTTATTTTATTACTCTTCTAAAATAGTTCATTTAGCTTTTACTTGTATTTTTCTAAAATTGAACAGCCACCAACTTATAGTGTGACCCCACTCAAAGAAAAATTTAAATTATTCAGTTCTTAGGATAACAAATAATATTTATAAAACACTCATGTATTAATCAAAGCATTTTAATATTTATCCTATTAATTCTATATAGTATTTCATCACTCCTGCTATTATAATATTTTAATTAAAAACCTTGTCTTGAAAGATAATTTGGGATATCCCAAAAGAAGTAAAGTTCTGTATGAAGAAAGAATCCATTATTTATTTTCTATAAGCAATCTTAAACTTTTTAATTCACAAAAATAAACACATTTAATATAAGGTGTATGCAATATGTTGATCTGGAGTTTGCTAATCACATATGCATACAATGGAAAATACATAACTTTAAAACATCTCGATTAAGTGAAGCTTACAAATGGAGACAATTCTTTTCACATATATTTATAATTGAGATAAATTAGTATATTTGAGTATTCTAGAAAAACAAAAAGCATATTCCTTATTGCCTAGGTTCATCTGAAAGTGATTTGAAATATGCTGTGTACCTGTGGATGAAATAAGCAAAAATACATAAAATGTGCAAATAAATAGAGTGAAATTCACAGAGACTACTTTGGGTGTTTGTGATTGAGTAATTTGTGAGTTTTAAGGATTTTTCTTAGTACAGTTTAGAATATTAATAAATGCCTTCTACTTACAGGAGGGTCTGCATCTTCGGCATAAACTGTTGTGATAGGTGTACCCTTGACTGCATCTGGAGCCACCATGCCTTTGTATATTCTTTTACTAAATACAGGAGGATAATCATTCATATCCTGTAAAACACAATTAGGAGTTCAGTACTTCAGTTGCAACCAGGTTAGGGATACAGTTACTAGATTAACTCCCACTCTTCATATCACACAGCTCATTTGCCACTGTCAGCCTTCCATCCTCTCAATTCCATTACTCTCACTTCAGACTGGCACCTCGGAGGAAACTGTCAGAGTTCTCATACAATATTAATGAGTGGATATCAACTGGAGGCCATTCCACTGGAATAAAGTCTTTCACCCTCAAAAACATACCTTTTGGAGACTGAAGTGACCCTTGAATTTTTCTCTAGCTTACTTCTAATGGTATGAGGTAAAATTTTAATATTTGTAAAAAAGTAAGAACAAGTTTCTTAAAAAGCTACATTCTTTGAAGCAGGAGTAAAATATATATTTTTAAAGCCCTTCATATGTTTTTGTAGCAATGTAAAGTATTTTATATACTTAGCATAATACTATGATTAGAATATTTCAGATACTAATTATGAAATATCCTTTGCTGCCATTTTACATGATAAAAGAAGATTTTCTCCACAGTGCACTACAAAATGACACTTAAGAATAGATATATTTGTATGCAGAAAACAATGTTGATTTACTGAAATTTTTTGAGAATTTATGTGTATCTTATTTTATTTTTCCAATTTGGTTATATATATACATTGTTACTCATGTAGTGCCAAGTTCATTAAATAAATAGTTATCAGTAATTTCCCACTTTTATAACCCAGTGCCAGGCATTGAATATACTATTGTGACTCAAGAAAAAGATGTCTTTGTCTTTGTGTCACTTAACTGCCATTAAGCTAGTCAAAATACTGATCTGCAAACAGGCTAGTGACTTTGACTAAATTAATCTACTTACTTGTCAGAGCCAAAATAATAAATCAAGTCCCCTGAAAGCAATCATTGTTTCTGAATCATCTTATCTTTCATGAAGAATTGTATATTGTTTTTCAATAAATAATGCTTATTAATATGGCAGATTTATTTATTTATAATAGTTTAATAATCCTTACACCCCTACCGTGTTTTGGGTAGCATGGGTCAAACGTATTTAAACTAAAAGCTAAATTTGTTAATTATCTGTTCTTCCTCTCCAAGAAACATTTTTCTCACTTGGTATTAAAAACAAAATTTAAAAAATCTACATGTTCTTTGATATTTGTTCAGACACAAGAATTTTCCTGTACAGTATTAAGTTGGAAACACATAAATAAATCTATTGTAAACTTCTCCTTTTGCAAAGAAGTCGAATAATTATCTCTTACTATCAAACAGTGCTTCCTTTTATATTCACCATAGAGTTGAGTTCTGAGTAGTCAATATGAATAAACTTGCATATTCTAATAGGAATAATTGAACTGTACACAAAAGTGAAAAATAAAAGATAACATTTCTTATGTTTTGGCATATAGTATTCACAATCCCTTATATGAAAAAGATGTTTTAAATAAATTATGGGCTTTAGAATCTGAACAAGTAAATGAACCAAGAATCTTTATAATGAGGACCGTGTAGGGTATTGATCTTTAGGCTCCATGTAGGAGGTAAAGACATAAAACATTAGCATGCAAACTTTTTAATGCTCTTTCCAAGAGTGCCAATTAACTTAATGAGTGGATGTGATAACTAAGGGTGTGGAAATGCTTTAACGCCCTTAAGTTGATTCCAAAGGTTAGAAAAGGAGCTCAACACTGCAATTTTTTCATATATGAGTTTCCAATGAGCTCAGTATGTTCTTACATATTTTATTCTTTATTACTCTCAGGGGAAACATAAAACCTTAATGTCGCAAAGTACTTTTTGGAATATCTGATTCTTTAGAAACAAAAAAATGTATATACTTTTCCAATTATGTCAACATAATGGTATACAGTTTTTAACACAATGAAGTTTTTATTTGCTTGGGAAGTATTCATTGGATTCACTTTCTAACTTGAATGTACAGTGGATTCACAAACTGATCACATGCACACCTAAGGCTGGAAGTGACTGTAGCCTATGAAAAGATTGGTTTTCCTCCCTCTTTATTTTCTATTGGCAGGATGAATAAATTAATATAGTTACTGTAGCAGTCTTTCTTCTTATGACACACCGTACAGACTGTGGGGTTATAATATTTTATCATGGCTAAATATACCACCAGTTGCATAGAGTTTTTCCACAATGCATTATTTCAAGAGGAGAAATGTATTGAAAGCAATGCCAACAAGTGTAATCAATAGTTCATTATATTTATGCTCAGGGACATCTGAAGAAAAATGTACATAAATCTGCTTCTAGACAACTGTTCTATTCTGTAAATTAAGGATATGCTCAGCACTCCAAAACCATGTTCTTTTCTATTGCCCATTATTCCACCAGAGGGTAGTATTGGCAAAAAGAAATATTTCCTCTTCTATACTCCAGTTATAAATTGTATCATTAAAAGCCATAATGGTTTGTTTCTTTTGGTTAAAATTTTTCTTGGTCTCAACAAAATTTTCTTAGTTTTAGTGCTTCAAGAAAGTATTCTGAATGTTATGGTTTACAACTTGAAAAACATTATGGTTTTTTCTTAAGACAAAGTTTAAAAATGGCTATACTAATAAAGCTCGCAATTTGTTTCCATGTATCAAGCAAATAAAATTATACCTGAAGGTATAGGTAGTTAACAGGAGAAAAACTATGTTTTATTTATTTTCCACATTAAAGTCTGTAATAATCACAGATACTATTTCTACTTTAGCAGACTACCGAGAAAATTTAAGGAATCTTTTTAATGAGCATGCCAGGAAGATAAGAACTTGTCAGTAAGTTTGTAAATTTAATGGCAAGTTGAAGTTCCACACACCAAAAAAAAAAAAAAAAAAAGAGAAAAAGATGATACAATTTTTGATTTTCTGGAATGACAAACAAAAACCCATAGAACAGGGCTTATTTAGAAGATAAGTAGAAAGTTCTAACTAGTCACAGATTGATCATCTTTTAAAAAATGATGAATATATAGCAAATGCCAGCCCTTACCATATCAAAGCTAATGCATGCTCTATGAGGAGACACAGACAGTATAAGCCAATGGGCAGAATGACTTCAGTTGTTTCTATAGCATGGTCTACCATTAGCATTGTCCTTGCTGAGCTCTGTGGGTGCCTTGCCCTCCGTAATGCCTTTAGGTTTATGGAACTGATACATGCTTTTACATGGAAGGGTACACAGTTGATTGCCTGCCTGTTACCAGTCCTCTTTTCCACTACTGACACTTTAGATTTGCTGTTCAAGTTGCTGTTTCTCGTATTTCTCATATTATTTGCATTCTGCTGTTTTTTATTCCTCTCTTAATTTCTGTATTTTCTCCTTGTCTTTACTGACTTATTTCCCTTCTTTTATGCTTCTGTATATAGAGTCCTTAAAGGCCACATGTGCAGCTAAACAAAATATTTGATATTTTTGCTGCCATGCTAGGCATATTCACCACAAGCTGACTTAACAGGCTGTGGGCCATAGGTAAACATTGGTGGTAGCCTGGCAGTACTCCCCAAGGGTCTATGATGGTTGCATTGGGTAAGGCTCCTTTCTGCTTGTGGAGAAGGACTATTTCTCATAGGTTGAGTACCTAGTCAGTCACAGTATAATAGAACATCAAGTAGAATTCTAAGGTTTTTGACTCCAGTCCTTGGCTTCTAGGAAGCATCTTTAGACCTGTTCAGGACCTGGGGGATTTTGCCACTCTGAAGCGAAAGACACAGGCCTGGCTGGCTTTGTCACTGCTGATTATAGAGACTCATGGTCTTGAACAAATGTAAGTGGTAGCCAGAGTGGTTACAGCACTCTGGGTTAGACAAGACCCAGTGCTTTGCTGGCTTTAGGTACGAGCCAGTGCAGTCCTATTGGTGGTGCCTACAGTGGTGCTTGTGTTGCCTCATCCACAGCTCCAGGTGGCTCCAAACAGAGACAGTCTGTATGAGAAAAAGTAAGGGAAAAGAATAAGAGTTTCTGCCTGATAATTAAGAGAATTCTCCTGGATCTTATCCAAGATCATTAAGGTAGTAAGAGTCTGGAAGAACCACAGTGTTACTGGGCTTGGGGCGCCTCCTAAAGTAGATACAGCTTTAGCAACACCCAAATCCTTTCAAATACCAGAAAAAGTTTTCTAAGTAACAAATACAAACAAATCCAAACTGTGAAGACTACGATAATACCCAATTCTTAAATGCTCAGACACAGACAAATATCCACAAGCATCAGTATCATCCAGGAAAACATTAACTCACCAAATAAACTAAACAAACCATCAGGAACCAATCCTGGGGAAACAGAGATAGTGACCTTTCAGACAGAATTCCAAACAGTTGTTGTGAGAAAACTCAAAAATTCAAGATAACACAGAGACGGAATTTAGAATTCTATCAGATACATTTAACAAAGAGATTGAAATAATTTTACAAATCAAGAAGAAATTCTGGAGTTGAAAAATTCGATTGACACCCTGAAGAATGCATCAGAGATTTTTAACAGCAGAACTGACCAAGCAGAAGAAAGAATTAATGAGCTTGAAAACAGGCCATTTCAAAATAGTCAGAGGAGGCAAAATGAAAAAAAGAACAGAAAACAATAAAACATGCCTACAAGATCTAGAAAATAGCCTCAAAAAGGCAAATCTAAGAGTTATGGGCATTAAAGAGGAGACAAAGAAAGAGATAGGAGTAGAAAATTTATTCAAAGTAATAATAATGAATAACTTCCAAAACCTAGAGAAAGATATCAATATCAAAGTATAAGTAGATTATAGAACTACCAGCAGATTTACCCCAAAGAATACTATCTCATGTCATTTAATAATCAGATTCCCAAGTTCAAGGATGATTACAGGATCCTAAAAGCAATAACAGAAAAGAAACAAATAACATACAGTGGAGCTCTAATACATCTGGCAGCAGACTTTCCAGCAGAAACCTTACAGGCCAGGAGAGAGTGGAATGTTGTATTTAAAGTGCTGAAAGAAAAAAAAAACCTTTTAT